AAGGTACTCTTCGGAGGTCGTTTTCAAGAACATCTTATATATTTACATGACACACGGCCAAACTAGGAATTCTGTGTCGTTTGTGCAAGTGACAGTCATGTTCAAACTCAACCAGATCAGAGGAAACAATTTGAGAACTGACTTTAGAAGCAGCTTTTGGGAAAGGAAGCAAACAGTCACTGAATAAAACAGCAGGGATTGAAGTTAATACTTTTGAGATTCCCTCAATAAGAATTAGGTTTGAAAATCCAATGTGAATCTGTTTCTAAAATGTTTAGGTGTATGGCTTCATGTAAAAGGACAAATCTATGTTTCCAAAGTGATCCAAAAAATCTTTCAAGTTGTTGTGCCTAAATCTTGAAGCAGAAACAAAATACGCTTGTCATGACCTGCTAATTTATTCATGATTTCTTCTGCTAGTTTTGGGACTTGCACGTCCCTATAACTTCCAGTTGTGATTTTAGTGTGCATGGGGAGAACAAAAAGGCTAGTTTAACATGGATATTCCAGGCCCTTCCACAATTTTGATTTGATAAGTTTGGGTTAAGGCCGTAAAATCTGCATTTCAATAGGACTTGCAAGAGACTCTGATATAGGTGGATAGTCATATCTTGGGAAAGAGCCTTAGACCAATTTTCAAGGGTGAGCTCTGAATTTACACCTTTATTTTGGAGTAGCTGGAGGGATACAACATATGCTCTCCTATATTGTTCTTTTCTTATTATAAGCATAAATCTTAACCAAATCCCTGTGTCTGGAAGCACAGAGCAGGACAGAAAGCAGTTCCTGTCCTTGGGAAAATCCCCCCATTTTCTCATACTTATTTATTTATTTATTTTTTAAAGATTTTATTTATTTATTTGAGAGAGAGAATGAGAGAGAGAGAGCACGAGAGGGAAGAGGGTCAGAGGGAGATGCAGACTCCCCGCTGAGCGGGGAGCCCGATGCGGGACTCGATCCCGGGACTCCAGGATCATGACCTGAGCCGAAGGCAGTCGCCTAACCAACTGAGCCACCCAGGTGCCCTTCTCATATTTAAAATAAGAGAGTTAGACTAAATGCTGTCTAGATTCCTATGTAGTTCTGATACTTTATACGCGTATCTGATGCCTGGCAAATATTTCCTGAAGATTATGACTCATGTGTTGGCCGATGTGGATGGAATGAGCAGGAAAAAACAGAAATCAGTCTTTGGGCCATTAAATCAGTTACAAAGATTAAGTAAGATACCCCTCCCCAGCCTCACATTTCAGTCACAACGGAGGGAGCTGGAATGGCAATTAGATATATGAACTCTATGCTCAAATGAGAAAAGATGTGTCTAGTTTTGATAAAATTTTTAGCAACCGTCTACATATAATGATCAGAAATTAGATATTGACCGCTAAGCTGCCATATCTGTGTGGATGGTTGACGATTAGTATAAAGAAGAATCACGTTTAGAATATCTTTTTATAATTCTGTCAGCAATGAGTAGACATCTTTTGTGCTACAAATGACTAAATTCAGAAGGTTTCCATTTGAGTAGCTATATGTTAAGTGAAAAACCAATTCCTTTACTTGACACTGTAGAAACAGTTTTCTTATGAGATTAAATCATAGAAACAACAAACTATTCAAATAATAACACTGAAAAACTCTATATTAGAAAAATTATGACTTACATTTTTCTGATAATGTATTTTACACAGGCCATATATGATAATAAGTGGTTTAAAAAAATCTGTTGATTGAGAGTTGAATCTAGCCACAAACACATATTTACTCCATATTTCCATAAAACGACTATAGGTAGCAAAAAAAAATGTTCATCCTTATGATTATTTAAAATAACAGCACGTTATATAATACTGATACCTAATATTTTTTAAAAAATTACTGCTTTTTAGAAAACATTTGCAAATAGCCACAGCAAAACTTATGAATATAAGGTCCATTCATTTATTCATTCAGTCACCCATTCACCAGACATTTCACTGTGGGTCACCAAGTGCTAAATGCTACTCAAGACACTGGAGATGGGCCACATGGTGAGGAGGAGAGCCAAAGAAAGCAACTTTCTGTTCTCATGGGGCTTAAGTTTTAAGGGGCTAGACAGACAATAAGCAAATCAGGATATAAATATGTAACCTACACCTCGAGAAAGAGCCTGAGACCAGTTTTCAAGGGTGAGCTCTTACATGCTAAGTAGAAAATAAAATAGAGCAAGGAACGAAGGGTGATGGGGAATTTTGTATTAATTTGTCATGGAAGCCATTCTGATAAGGTAAGTGAGCAGAGACCCGAATGAAGTGAGGAATGTGGCACAAAAACATTGGGGAAAGAGATGGACCTGGGGGGTATTTTGCTAAGTGAAGTAAGACAGATAAAGACAAATACCATACGATTTCACTTACATGTGGAATCTAAAAAATAAAACAAATGAACAAAGAAACAGAGCAGGAACAGACCCATCAACACAGAACAAACTGGCGGTTGCCAGCCTGGAGGAGGGTGGAGGGATGGGGGAAATGGGTGAAGTGGCGTAGGAGCTACAGACTTCCAGTTATGGGAGGAGTAAGTCACAGAAATGAAAGGTACAGCCCAGGGAATATCGAGTCAGTCAGTGGTACTGTAATAACGTTATATGGTGAGGGATGGTGGCTACGGTTGTGGTGAGCATAGTATGATGTTTAGACTTGTCCAATCACTATGTTAGACACCTGAAACTAATGTCACATTGTATTAACTATACTTCAATGTAAGAAAATCAGAAACAAACAAACAAAAAAATCATCAGGGAAAGATTTTCTCTAGGCAGAGAAAACAGCAACCAGAAGGTCTGAAACATTCTAAAAAGTCCCAACATGAATCTGAAAAAAAACCTAGGCTTTTTCAAAAATATTGGAGGCTCTCCTGTAGCTGAAGTTCTCTCTTTTCTAAGCTTCTTTGAACACTCAATCCTAGCGACTGTCCACTCCCCTGGACTTCTATAGCAGAATTTAACTGGTAACTGAACACTCTGTTTTGGTGGTAGGCCGAGTCTGATCTCCTTGCCTGGACTGTAAATTTAAGAACAAGGATCATACTTTATGCTATTTCTGCCATCAACTCCCCATCTCTATCCTGCATGCCGTGGTGTTGAACATATATTGGAATTTTTTTTTTTTTTACAAATTTATTTGTTTGAGAGAGAAGGAGAGAGAGTTGGGCGGGGGGCAGGAGGAGAGGGAGAGAGAGAGAGTCTCCAGCAGACTGCCCATTCAGCATGGAGTCAGACTCGGGGCTTGATCCCAGGACCCTGAGATCATGACCTAAGCCAAAACCAAGAGTTTGGGCGCTTACCCAACTGAGCCACCCAGGTGCGCCCCTGTGTTGGAATCTTAATAAGGTATTTGATTAATCAAAAATGTATATGCAAATTTTTTTGTAATTTAAAGTTTTTAATGAGAAATGTTTCTTTGTCAAGATTCTCTGGGTGTGGTATGAATTCACTATTAGGATTAATAATAATCACTATTATTTCAGTTTGCAATTGTATGTATTCCCCCCCACATATACAAAAGCCTACTTAAAAGGAGAAAAACGTAACAAATGAGGAGATATATTAAAAGGCTTTATTCACAATAGAGAAATTTTACAAATATAGTTTTTAAAAATTATGTGTCAATCTATTATATTTTCCATAACATTAGAGATTTATATAAAGTTGGAAATGACAGAATAGACTTATGTACAAATTAAAAACAATCAATGAAAAGAATGGGTGCTATATATGAAGGAGTCATGACAAACATCATTGAGTTCTATAAATTTCATACAACTTATATGTATAATATTAATTGTGCACAGTATACCAAAAATGTATGCAGAAACACAAACTTAAGTGCTATTTTAATTATTCACCTTTCAGGATGTGAATACGTATGTAAACTTAACTTCAGTTTTGCTGAAAATGAAATGAAAGACAGTGCCTACCTAAGGACTTCAGTTGTTTAAAATAATTAACACAAAATATAACTTTAATTAAATTACATCACCATAACATTCTCTTATTTTGTTTACATTTTTGGTGTTTTGGGACTTAGGTTAAAAAAATCCATGTTCTAGAATTGAAAAACTTTGTTCTTGCCATTGGCAGAACAAAATGTAGTACAATCATCTTGCCTATTTATAACAGGATACAAAAGGTACATTATAGAGCAGTGTGTACACATGACCTGATTTTAATATCCTATCTGCTGCAGAAATACGTATCAGCTTTGTGCTCTTTCAGATCAAATTGAAAATCAAAGAAAATAAAGTAATTTAAATTGCTAGTCCAAGGACATTCATGTGAAAATTATCATCTAAATACACATGGCCCAATTTTTGTAATAATCTCACATGTTGTTTTTAAGTGCTGGGGAAAAAAGGACTCTCAACCATCCATTCATTTCATAAGGTGAGCTGAAGATAGGAGTGGAAGGAGTTGGTCTGGGTCACAGGAACTCGTTAACATTGCAATAATGATGCACTAAAGGATCTTTTTCATTTACTAATTTTATTAATTTTTTCTTTGACATAAACCAGTGTACAATACTGAAAAAAGAGCAGGTCACACAGGTGGTCCTTTCAGACAAAGGACATCTTTTGAAACACTTTCAAAAGGTGAAACAGCTAAAAAACAATTGAGTCTATTGAGATCTAGGAAAATAATTAAAAAACATTATGTTGAAGCATATGAAATTGCTGATATCGGACAGTTTCTCAACTACAAGTGCAGCAATTCCATATGCTTCAGCCTAATTCACGGGGTTGAACTGAGCTATCTGACCACTCTAGGTTGAAAATGCAGGTGCTCCAAGTCTCTGTTCCTCAGTATATGCATCATCGCATTAGCCCTTTCTAGGAATAGATATATAATTCATACATATATTTCACATATATATTTCATATATATGTGAAATATGAACTAATATGATGAGAAAGCACAAGGTGCCACCAAATGTATTCTTGAGAAAGCCACTCATATCTCAAAATAATCCTTATTCTTAATGAAGAATCATATAATTATTTTGATCTGCTATACGACTGTGGGGGATTAGGAATGTCTATTCCCATATATTGCTTTTAAGCTGGAATCTCTGTGTTGAGTTTGACCAGACAAAATGTACTATATTCTTATTTGGCCTGAAAGTTTATTAGATTTTCTTCAATTGACCCTGAATAGACACATTAGCAAAGCTTCTTTCAGAGTTAAATCCTGCTTTCACAAATTGAAATGAAATAATTTACTACATTTGAGAAAGGGCCCTTTTCAAATCTGAAAAAAAATGTGGACCAAATGTAATGCTTTTTTTGAGAACAAGAAAAAAACCTTAAAGATGAAATACAAAGTAAAAACCATGTTAAATACTCACCCTTTCTTTAGAGAGACTCAATTTCTTCATATACTCCGTTAAAAGCAAAAGCTAACACATGAAAAGTTATACTGTTTTCTTTCAAAAAATATAATTCAGTAATAGCAGAGCTCTGCAAAACTTGAAAGCTCCATTCGTGTGGTAGGGGATGGAAGAAGTTAACCAGGACATGATCCAGAAATGACCCAGGGCATTTAAAGTAAAATTTGAGAACTAATTCACAAATTAGGAAACACTAATATAATCAACAAAAATATACTGTGGTTCCAATGAAATGAGGTCAACATGAGATGATCCTTTTGGGAATGACATTCTAATTTGAATTACAATGTGAATGAAGTATTTTAGAAGACATTCTATCAAATAATGATAGACCTGCATAAAGAGGCTGTCTGTCACAGTTATAAGATCTGTCTCTGGTGGATAGACAAACCAGATTAACATAAAATTGAAAAGGAAAAAGCTTTTTTAATATTTAATTTATTATTATGGCTTTTTGCAACATGGCAAAACATTACAGCTTAAAGCAGATGTCATCTCCTCATAGAGGAGGAAAAAGTTTTGCAGTCAAATGAAAATTGTAACTAAGAGGTCATTGGTATACCATTTTATTCGGTGTAATAAAAATGATATACCTTCATGAACTCCAGAGATTACTTAAAAAAAGTATAAACCTGTGATCCACTGACTGAATAATAAAGGATATGATAAGGAATTTAGGTCCATCTATGCCTATGAAAATAAACATAAAAGACTGCAAAACAATTTTAGAACTTAGAATAACCACAGACCTACTGATAAAAATTCATCATGTGCCTGAATACCAGAAAAGGAATTATTAAGGTATGCAGTGAAGGGAATGGAGCAGAGTAAAATATAAAATGTCTTTTTATTTTTCATTGACTTCAACTTCCTTTTTATTCGTACAGAGTACAGGGAGAAGATGTGCCTCGGTATTGAAGATCCAGTGTTCCAGTGGAAGTAGATCATCATCAGAAAATATTAAGTACAAATATCTGGAGAGAGAAACATGAGTATATGAGGCCCGAGAGACCGTCAGGCAGTGAGAGCATACAGACAGCAACGTCTCCATTCATCTCATGGAGAATCACGGACAATGGCCCAAATATTGCAAAACCCTGAGGCGATACAGTCCCGAGCGTGGAGTAAAGAAGCTGCCCTGTGGTGGCTGTTAGTGTAGGGAGACCTACTAAGCAGTCCCCAGGCATCAGACTTATATAATGACTGGAAACACAGGTGCAAACATGTGCCACACATGGAGAGTGACCTTCGGAAGCAGGCATACTTGCTATTATTTGAGTGTGTTAGTGATAAAGACATCTGCAAAGAAGATCTGACCAGGTACCTCAGGTACCTCAGCCAGTACTTTTGGAACCCATCTTACTTACTTGAGTGTCTCTGCCAGGAAGAAACTCTGCTGCACGTCGTCGTGACTCTCGTGTCTGAGATAAACGTCCCTGAGGCCCGAATAGCCTCCGTTCACGCGGCAGTGATTTTCCAGGGCCTAAGTTACCAGAGGAGGGAAAAAATGGTCACATTTCAATAAACTGCTTCTCACCGATTTTTATTACGAAATTGTCAAATTGAAATAAAATAAGGATTCAAACTGAGTGATACATGTGGAAGAGTTTCAGGCGAAAATTAAAAAAAAAAAGAACACAAAATGCAAATGCATATAAAGTATGAAAAGTTGGGGCGGCTCAGTCGATTAAGCATCTGCCTTTGGCTAAGGTCATGGTCTCAGGGTCCTGGGATCAAGTCCCCGCACCGGGCTCTCTGCTCAGCGGGGAGTCTGCTTCTCCCTCTGTGTTCTCCCCCACTCAAAGAAATAAATAAAATCTTTAAAAAAAATAAAGTATGAAAAGTTAAAGGGTATATAGACAATATATCTCATCTAATTAGAAACACTTCTACATTTAATTATGAAATAATTTTTCAGGTTTTTTTTTTTTTTTTTTTTTACCATTTCCTCCTGTGGTCTAGAGCAGGGTTCGTCAAACTATGGATCACAGGCTAAACCCAGTCTGCTGTTCATTTTGTAAATAAAGTGTTACTGAACCACAGCCATGCTCATCTGTTTACATATTGTCTGCGGCTGTTTTTTCATTACAATGGCAGAGCTGAGTACAGGCAAACCTCGGAGACATTGTGGGTTTGGTTCCAGACCACTACAATAAGTGAATATTGTGATAAAGTGAGTCAAGTGAATTTTTTGGTTTCTCAGTGCATAGAAAAGTTAGACTAGAGTCTATTAAGTGTGTGGTAGCATTATGTCTGGAAAACAATGTACATACCTTAATTAAAAAATACTGTTGCTACAAAATGCTAAGCATCATCTGAGTGTTCAGTGGGTTGTACTCCTTTTGCTGGTGGAGGGTCTTTCTCTGATGTTGATGGCTGCTGACTGATCAGGGGGGTGGCTGTCAAAAGTTGGGGTGGCTATGCCAAATTCTTGAAATAAGACAACAGTGAAGTCTGCCACAACAGGTGACAGTTTCTTTAACAAATGATTTCCCTGCAGCACACAGTGCTGTCTGATAGCATTTTACCCATGGTAGCACCTCTTTCAGAATTGGAGTCAATCCTTTCAAACCTTGCAGCTGCTTTATCATCTAAGTTTATGTAATATTCTAAAGTCTTGGTGGTCATTTCAACAATCTTCATAGCATCTTTACCAGCAATAGATTCCATCTCAAGAAACCATTCTTTGCTCATCCATAAGAAGCAACTCTCCATCTGTTCAAGTTTTATCATGAGATTTGGCAATTTAGTCACATCCTCAGGCTCCACTTCTAATTCTAGTTCTCTTGCTATTTCCACCACATCTGCAGTTACTTCCTCCACTGAAGTCTTGAACTCCTCAGAGTCACCCGTGAGGGTAGATATCAACTTTTTTCAAAGCCCTGTTAATGTTGATACTTTGGCCTCCTCTGTAAAGTGATGAATGTTCTTAATGGTATCTTGAATGGTGAATTCTTACCAGAAGGTTTCCACTGACTTTGCCCAGATCCATCAGAGGAATCACTGTCTATGGCAGCTATAGCCTTATGAAATGTATTTCTTAAATGCTTAAAGACAAAATGCTCCTTGAACCATGGGCTGCAGAATGGATGCTCTGTTAGCAGGCATGAAAACATCCATCTCATTGTCCATCTCCATCAGAGCTCTTGGGCGACCAGGTACACTGTCAATGAGCAGTCATATTTTGAAAGGAATCTTTTCTTTCTGAGCAGTAGGTCTCAACAGCGGGCTTAAAATATTCAGGAAACCATATGTAAACATGTGAGCTCTTATCCAGGCTTCGTTGTTCCATTTATAGAGCACAGGCAGAGTAGATTTAGCATCATTCTTAGAGCCCCTAAGATTTTTTGAAATGATAAGTGGGCACTGGCTTCAAATTCAAGTCACCAGCTGCATCAGCCCCTAACAAGTGAGTCAGACTGTCCTTTGAAGCTTGGAAGCCAGGCATTGACTTCTCCTCTCCAGTTATGAGAGTCCTAGATGGCATCTTCCTCTAAAAGAAGGCCATTTCATCTACACCGAAAATCTGTTGTGTAGTGCAGCCATTTCATTAACGATCTTCGCTAGATCTTCTGGAGAACTTGCTGTAGCTTCCACATCAGCACCTGCTGCTTCACTTTGCCCTTTGATGTTATGGAGATGGCTTCTTTCCTTAAACGTCACGAACCAACATCTTTTGTTCTGCAGATTCCTCACCTCTCTCAGCCTTCACAAAATTGAAGAGAGTCAGGGCCTTGTTCTGGATTATGCTGTGGCTTAAGGGAATGTTGTGGCTGGTTTGATCTTCTATCCGGACCACTAAACTTTCTCCCTATCAGCATACGACTTTCTTATCATTCCTGTGTTCACTGAGGTAGCACTTTTAATTTCCTTCAAGAACTTCTCTTTTGCACTTACAGTGTGGCTGCTTGGCACAGGAGGCCTAGCTCTTTGGCCTTTCTTGGCTTTTTTTTTTTTGGCTTTTGACATGCCTTCCTCACTAAACGTAATCATTTGTAGCTTCTGATTGAAACTGAGAGATGTGTGACTCTTCCTTTCACCTGAACACTTAGAGGCCACTGTGGGGCTAGTAACTGGCCTAATGCCAGGACTGTCATACCTCAGGAACTAGAAAGGCCCGAGGAGAGAGAGAGAAATGAGGGAATGGCGAGTCAGTGGAGCCATCAGAACACACAACATTCATCGATAAAGTTCTCTGTCTTATTAGAGTGCCGTTTGTGGCACCCCAAAACAACTACAATAATAACATCAAAGATCACTGATCACACGTCACCCTAACAAATATAACAGCAATGAAAAAGTTTGAAATACTCTGTGAGAATTATCAAAATGTGACAGAGATATGAAGCAAGCAAACGCTGTTGGAAAAATGGTGCTGACTAGCCTTGCTCGACGTAGGGTTGTCACAAAACTTCACTCTGTAAAAAACACAGTGTCTGCATAGCACAATGAAGCAGAGCACAGTAAAAGGAGGTATGCCTGCAGTTGCCTATGGCCCCCAAGCCTACTTCCCTCTGGCTCTTCCAGAAGATGCTTGCTGACCCCTGATCTAGGGAGACTGTTACTGTCAACTGGGATTAGAAACCCAATAACTGAGAAAGTGTAGTGGACCAAAACCAGCTGCTGCTACACCCAGAACATCTTATTTTGTAAACACTGATGGTGGAGTACTAATTAGTGATATTGGTCACAGATATCAAAGAAGAAAATGGAAAGTGGTGAAAAAAAATGTGGCTGATATCTGTTTCTAAAATATGTTTTTCCTTTCTTTAGTATGGAAGAAAATGGGATGAGTCCATTTCTTAACTGTCTGGAGAGAAATGATCCTACATTCCTGAAGTTTCTCTGACTATAATGAGTATTTGGAAAAGACGTGAGTTGGGCAGTGTGGGAATGAAAATTTAGGTAACAACCTAACAACTTGCAGGCTACATGAACAAAGAAAATACCTCATGATTTGGTACTTTTTAAAAGCCACTGGGAAAATAAGATCAACTTAAAAACTGCTTTGATTATATTCTCTGTTGCAGACAACAAACCAAGCCGGGGGAAAGCTTGCAGAAAGGAAATTTCAGGTCCTATTATTTTTTTTTCCTTCCTTCCTTTTTTGATAGAAGTTCTTTTTGATTAAAAAGTCAAATACCAGATACATTGGAGTAGGCCAAAGATTATTTGTAAAAAAGTAAAAAAAAAACACAAACCAGGATTTAGAAGAAATGGACAAATTTGTTGTTATGGAACATAATTAAATCCTACTTCCAGACATTTCCTAAAAAAGATTTTAACAACAAAACTTTTTCTTATTTTCTTCCCTTGAAGTTCTTTGGTGATGTAAGCTAATGAGAGGACCAGGCATGATAAACTGCCAACTCCTCTCTCCCACAGAAATTTCTATAAGATCCTTCTTTCAATTATAGGGAAAGAGTTGTTCTGTGGTATGGACAATGCCCAACCATTTTTCCTCTCTTCAGTTCACCCTCATTCTTCTTCTCACTCAGTCTTAATGTGGTGAGTCAGAGTTATCCAGCACGTGTTCTAACATCTCAGAAGAAGGGGCTGAATCCTGGCCCTGGACTCCTTAACCGGGGTCTCTGACATGCCCGGGACCGGGCAGTGTCCCTTGGTTCAACATGGGGTTGTTATGAGAATAAAACAAGATGAAGACATGCTTCGCAGAGTGACAGGGATCTTTCAGAGGTTTAGAGAGGTCTAGCTACTTTTATTTTTTGAGGCTTTTGGCAAATTGAAAAAAAAAAAAAAGGGAAAATGCCAGAGGCTTTTTTTTTTTCTTGACTTTTAAAAAATGAAAAGCCATCATGTCAAATCTAAATTTTAGAACTTTAGGAATATGAAGCTGGGGATGAGCAGCCCTCTTGGGCACCCATCACAGGCCCTGGCTTTACGGCATCTCAACAGTGGAAGCAGTCATGTATTTATGCTGCATAGTCTGATGAGAATGTCATTTTACTGCAATCTGTTCTTGGGACTCTCAGACTCTAGGCATAGGGACCACCTCGATTTTACGTAAATGCTTACATTATTAGTGACCATATGTGGCCGGGATGCGCTAAGAGCAGAGAAAAGAAAAATAGGAAAATGTTTACAGTTACTGGAACTCTAAACAAACCCAGACCCCAAGGGACTGTACCTCTTTAGGGGGGAGAAAGGTAGGAGAATGGCGAGCAGCATGAGTTAAATCGTAAGTCAGAAAGGGAGAGAAAAGAATTCTCTTATCTTTAGGTGAAATGTGTTAGAATAACGGCTGATCCATGGAGATTTCCAAGAGTGGATTCTAGGGAACAATGCTCATAATAAGGCTGAATGGTTGAGTTTGGTCTGAGCTCATTGGGAGAACCTAGCAAAACAGACATATCAAAGAGTCCAGAAACAGGGATCAAGCCTGGGGAGGGAGAAGCAGGAACTGGGAAGACAAATCACTTTCTGAGAGCCAGAATGTCCATATGGCGAAGGTCAGATTTAGAAGACTAGAAAAAATTGTCTGTGTGGAAAAAGAAGGACAAAAAATTCCCTATATAAGGCTTATCTGCTACTGTGGACCAGGGGAGACATCATATAATCCGTACATATACCTTTATAGACATTGTATAATCTATAACTACCAAGACATACATGAATACATAGGTATAATTTAGAGTAGAGCTTTATCAGAATATTATAGATAATAGCAAGGAGTTTAATGAAGTTTTCACATTATTGAGAAAAACAAAAGAACTATGAGGTAAATGTTATTTTTGCTACATAGATTCACAGGTGTGTGAACATCTCTGATTAATGAATTGCTGGTAACCTGCGGAGAAGTTTCTAGTATCCTATGCTGGATTATATAATTTCATATCTTGTTTGACATTATTATTGTGTTCAGCGTTACTATTCTGAAATTCAGCTAAGACAAGGAAAGCAGGTTTATCGTATGAGTGCAAGAAGTCTGGAAAGGGAGTGCTTCATTAGAAGATGGGAAGATGGCTGACAAATACTTTACAAATAGCAAATGTGGTTGAACACAAGGGTGAACAGAAGAGATGTCTCGACAGGAACTAATACAGTAGCTAATATCATTTGACCACAACTTCGATGTAAGCCAGGGGGGTTTTACAGTCCACCAAAAAACCAAGTTGGGCCATCGGCTGTGGGAAAAATAACACTCAGAAGAGAGGTTATTGGGTCACACCACTCAGCCCTGAGAGACCACACACGTCATGAGGAGGTGGAGGGAAATGGTCGATGAGGAGGGACCCGTGGGCAGAACGAGCTGTCTTCAGATAACTGAGGAGCTGAAGTGTAGAAGACAGAAGAGATTTCCCCCCAGGACCTCCAGAGCACAAAACACTGTAAATTCTGGTTTCAAAAGAAGTACGTTTCTAACACTTTCAGCCATTAAAAAATGGAATTACTTTATTAGTAGTATATTCTTTTTTTAAAACTACAAAGTCCTTGAATTGATGAGTAATAGCCATCTGGCAAAGATGACGAGGAGGTCTTTTCTTTGAGGGGAAGGCTAGTCTATGTGTTTTAGTTTGGGTTCCCCTAAAAATGGAGCGTGAGGACAAGGGCCAGATGCAGGAAGTTTTTAAGGGAGGTGACATCAGGAAGGGAATGAGCAGGGCAAGTGAACCGGGGGAGGGAGAAGAGCCCGTGAAATGTGCTGAGCAGGGGACAGCTGTGGGCCATGAAGGCTCCCTCCCACTGGAAACCCTCCGAGGAATCATGCAGAATGCATCTCAGAGTTATTCTGCCAAGGGGGACGACTGGGCTAGCTGTTCCTCAACTCTGAGACCTTACTGGTTCAGGACTGCCCCTGGGGACTTTACCTCTCCCACCTCCCTGACCACAGCCAGCTGCCTGGGAAGAAGCTCAGAGCCGGGGCAGCTGAGGAGCATGGGGTGGGGGTGGGGTGGGGTGAGGGGGTGGGTGGGGAGGGTGGGGAGGTGCAGGGATGTGGTCCCTGCAGCTGTAGCTGAAACAAAGGAGGGCTGAGGGGATGTCACATGAGGGAAAAGAGTGCCACCACACTATCTCTGTTGATGATTCTGTGCTTTAAAGAAGGCCAGAGTCCCAGCACTCCCTCTCCCTGCTCTACCTCAAGTTCTAGCAGAAGCACTAATGGCAAAAAGCGAGGGCAGGGGGCGGGGGTTGGTTCGGAGGGTTCAGATTGTGCACAGGGAGACAATCTTACATCATATGCTACACTAGAAGTTAACAATAGACAAAAATCCTAAGCCTTAAAACCAATTTATTACCCCACAAACACGCTCCCCTGAAGAACCAAGCAAACCAAAGCTTCCCATTCACACGGCCATAGAGATTTACTTATTTCCATTTTTGTATCAGTTCTCTCTCTCACACATTTTTCACATTTTAACAACTCTAAAATTGGCATGTCATAATTTAATTGGTGGTGTGGTACTTTCTCAGTGGCGTACAAAATAATGGTGTTTCTTATCAATTAGAGGGTTTTACATTTGATGAAATATGTTATTCCTGATATTTTCAATTTAAACTGATATTTGCAAGGTGACTATTAGCCTTAAATTCTTTTGTTGGCCTAGTGAAAACCAAAATAATTTCCTATCACTAAACCTTAGATGAACCTCAATTTTTATACATTTTTTTCAGAGGAAAAAACATAAATTTAAAGAAATTGGAATCACCACCGACTAAACATAATTAGAAAACTTTGCAAGAAGTAAAAGACAAAAAGAGACCTAAAGAATCGTTATGACTTAAAATGACTAATGACTAGTGATAAGGCACATACTACACGAAGAGGGTAATAAGCAAGATTCATCAACGGCTTCCTAAGATATTAGTTATAACTTACACAAAGGCAATATATTCATTTTAGATTTCCTGGAGAGAAGTTATTTCTAACAGTCTGGTTTTAAAGACAGCTAACTTTGTAACAGTGAGTGTAATTAAAGTGTTCTTATCTCCTTGATGCTCCACCACAACTCCTTCCAGAATAATAGCTCTTAAAATTAACATTATTTGATGCAGATTCTGGAGAGTGTGGCTGCTGGTACCAGCACACAGTGTTCACTAGATTAGTTTGGGAAGATGATACGCCATGTTCTGTAGGAAGAGACCCAAGGGGTGACGAAGACAATTCAAACAGCGCATTGGATAGATGGAAAGCTTATAGATATTCAGAGAAACCTGAGGTCAGTGAACGAATATTGTTGCACAAAATAGTTCTTCTATAGGTTCTTTCTAAAAGTTAGATCTAAGTAGCTAATTTACTCTGTGGAAGAATTTCAATCTAAAATGGAACTGGAACCGGAAGACAGAAAACAGAAAATCTTATGCATGTACCCTCAGGAAAACAAAACTTAAGGACCATGAGACTGATTTCCTGTACATGCCGGATTTACAGAAAACTGATAATACTGGGATGATAGGGAGTTGGCCAGAGGTTGCCTTATATCAACCCCTTGGGAAGTTTTACTTATGGAATGAACAAGAACTGACCCAGGTCAGGCTGGTCTCACAAAATAGCTAAGCTGTGCTTTATTTGTATGACTCGACTGGTTTTGTCTGCTCAGGGACTTCTCAAAGCTGGTGCCCATTTGTTTTTTATTTTAACAGACTCTATCTGAATTCTCTCTTCTTTACATACAGCCCACCTTGAAACTTCAAATGACTCACTTGTGTTTGCTGAATTGCAATTCCTCTGCTGTCCCTGAATAAACTCTTTTTTATGGGCAATTTTGAGTTTGCCTCAGTTTACCTTTTTATTTAGGTTGAAACTAAGTAGAAGCACATATTTTCATTTCAGTGCCCAAAGACTCATAAAAACAACAAACCAACCAATGTAGTGGCTTCTCAAAACAGACAACAGGCAGAGGCCATTATCCCCAGGTTGTCAGTAACTGTGGAATTAAGTGACCATTATTTCTATGGCTGTGGGAACTTAATTTTATAATATGCCTTTCTAAATATCTTTTAGTATCAAAGTAGGTATATTACTATCACCATTACATAAAGCAAAACTGAAGCCAGGGATATAGGATGACAACTGAAAACACTCATTCTTGAATTGGGAAAAATTCTAATTAAACCTTTAAAAATCAGGGGGTCTGGTTAGCTCAGTCGGATGAACGGCCGACTTTTGATTTTGGCTCAGGTCGTGTTTAGGGTCGTGAGATGGAGCCCCCACTGGGCTCTGTGACGGGCATGGAGCCTGCTTAAGATTCTCTTTCCCCCCTTTCCCTCTGTACCCACCCCTCAAAGATTTAAAAATCCTAGAAAAGTTGATATGCTAGATTTAAAGAAATCACTGAGCATTTTTCCCTGAGACATTTATGTATAAGAAATATAATCAAATTAAAACATCACCTCTACGGCTTCCCAGGCCCATTTCCTGTACTTTGGATCATGAGTCAGTCGCCACATGTACATGTAAGTCTCAACAACCTCTGGCCGTAGGATGTAGTACTTTTCATTCTGCCTTGTAGCAATGGCTTCAACTCCACCATCGAACCTGAAAGCTTCCGGTCCCAGTTTCATATCTAAAGGGCATGCAAGGGTGATAAGGGTTATTGTCTTGGATGCTGCTCAGTTCTATAACTTAAATGAAATGAGAAAGTACTTTACAACATTCAAGAGAGATGTCAAAACAATTGCTTTAAGGAATGGTTATAAACATCCTATAATAAACAATATTTGACATACTTTTAAAATACAGTCATCTGAGAGTCCTTTTTAAAGCATCGCGATGATCTGTTATTTTCTTTCATTTAACCACCCCTTACTGAGTGCCCCCCGGGTAGGTACAAGGCACTACAGCACCCCTTATTAGTTAGCTGGAAAACCAGTGGTTGAGAATTCTATGTCATTATGTCATGAGAGGTTACTTAATCTTTGGGCTTCAAACTCCTGTTTTATAAGAAGGGAGCCAGACTATTTCATGGAGATACTGAAAAGGTTAATAATGGCATAAAAAACTAAGTTTCTTTTGCACCTGGGACAGAGATTCTTAACCAATGTTATTTACCTAAAGCAGGGTCAATAAATTAGCCTGGCTTAACCCTGTATGGCTTCAATTCTTATTCCTTGGGAAAAATAAGGGTAGATACTTTTATGTAGAAAGGCAGTGCTTCTTAAAGTAAAAAATATAAACTCCTTTAAAATATTCATCATCAGCTTCCAGTTTCATGAGGCACACTGGATATTCTTTTGGTGGCCCAGTGACAATGGTCCTTACTGAACAAAAAAGAAGCCTGTGGGAATAGACTGAAAATGAAGAATCACAGGTACTCACAGGTGCGATTGTAAGATTCATAACAGGTTCGGGCAATTTCAGCCCCGAGCTGAAGGTAGTGCTGGGTCAGGCCTGTGGGAGCGTCGTCGGCCCCAAGTGCAAACATGCCTCCAGCAAAGCAGGTCAGGTGACCCATCTTGTGTTCCAGGAGGCCCCCTTTCCACTCTGCGATGTAAGTCAGCCCCGTACTAGACTTGCGGATCAAGTGAGTCTCAATTGCCTGCAAATCAGACTTATTTTCAACATTTTTAAATCCCTTCCAAATTTATACTAAAAACACTCTCCACGCTAAGAGAGAAAAAGAATAAAACATCACTTGCAGTTTGAATTTGGTGTCATCAATCTGATTCCACCTGAAATTTTGTTACTGCTTTCTGTATTCCTCCCCTAGTCTCTCTGCCTTATTAGTCTGGTTAGTCAGGATTGTTGCTGCTGGGCCAGCCCAGTCGGTTTTGCCTGGTTCCACGACCAAACATTTGTAGTCCTCAGACCTCAAAAGCTGTCCCCTTCTCAAAGAGAGGCCACAGGTGTAGAGGTTAACGGTTAATGCATTTCCATTTTCACAATGGAGAAATGACACAAAGCACAAGCCCCACTGTGGATGAAGAATAGAGCGTATTTGTGTATAAAGTCCAGGCGGGGAGTGTTACCCTGCCTTTGGTTCTCTTAGGCTCAGAGGGCAGTAAACTGAGGGGGAAAGGTGTGCCATTCTTGAGTCAGATTGCTTGGCCTCAAATTCCAACTCTGACACTATCTGTGAACTTGGTGGGTAATTTGCTTGCTGTATCCCTAAATCTCAGTATCCTTAACCATAAAAAGGGAATAGTAGTATCTTCTGAGAAAACTCTGCAACATTTAGTGTATGAAGCCATCAACGCTGTGACTGGCACTTGATAAGTTTTATTTATCATCATCACTCACATCTCCACTGTGGTAACATGAAATTAAATTCCTCCCTAATAATTCTATTAAAAAGCACATTGATATATAATAAAAAAAGACACATAAAAAGATGCTCATCATCACTTATCATCTAGGAAATGCACAAACAAAACTACAATGAGATATCACCTCACACCTGTCAGAATGGCTAAAATCAACAACACAAAGAACAACAGGTTTTGGTGAGGATGTAGAGAAAAAGGAACCCTCGTGCACTATTGGTAGAAATGCAAACTGGTGCAGCCACTGTGGAAAACAGTATGGAAGTTCCTCAAAAAGTTAAAAATTGAACTACTCTGTGATCCAGCAGTCACACTACTGGGTATTTACCTGAAGAATACAAGACCACAACCTGCCTCCCGGCTCCAATGCCTGTGGACTCTACCAGGTCAGGCACCCTGATTCGTTCTGTGACTCCTCTGGTTCCAAGACCACAAACTGAGGGTTACAGAGAGGTGGGGATGGGAGGATGGGGTAGCTGGGTGATGGGTATTAAGAAGGGCACATGATGTGATGAGCGCTGAGTGTTATATGTAACTAATGAATCATTGACCACTACATCAAAAATTAATGATGTACTATATGTTGGCTAACTGAACATAAAAAAAAAGATTACAAAACCACTAATTCAAAGGGATACATGCATCCCTATGTTTATAGCAGCACTATTTACAATAGCCAAGACATGGAAGCAGCCCAAGTGCCTACTGATTGATGAATAAAGAAGATGTGGCAATAATGGAATATTATTCAGCCACAAAAAAGAATGAAATCTTGCCATCACAACGATATGGATGAAGCTAGAGAGTATAATACTAAGTGAAATACGTCAGCTGGAGAAAGACAAATACCATATGATTTCACTCATATGTGAAATTTAAGGAACAAAACAAGTACAGGGGAAAAAAATGAGAGAAACAAATCAAGAAACAAGCCCTTAATTATAGAGAACAAGCTGATGGTTACCAGAGGGGAGGGAGGATGGGTGAAATAGGTGATGGGAATTAAGGAGCGCACTTGTGATGAGCACAGGGTGATGTATGGAAGTGTTGAATCACTCTATTGTACACCTGAACCTAATACAATGCTGTATGTTAACTAACTGGTGTTGAAATAAAAACTTAAAAAAAAAAAAAAGAATAAAGGTCTGTAAACTGGGGAGAAATGATGTTTACAAGAATGATTTGTAAAATATCTTTTATTTTTGCCTTAGGACTGTTGATATTCTTTTATAATAGATAGAAAACATAAAATAAGCCTTACATTTTAAAAAGCAAAAATGAGGTATAACTGTTTGGAATTGCTAACTGGAACTGTTGCTGTAACAGGAAATGTGTTTTTCCCCCTCCCAATTACTTCATAGAAGAAAAAGAGCTATGACTATGTCCATACCTGTTATGCCATTATAAAAAAAAGAGTTTTTTTAGGAAGTACATTTGGGAATAGTAGACACAGACAAAACTTGTGATAGAGAAGAACGAATGAAAATGAACACACAGATAACACCTTTCCTACCTTTATTGAAAATAAACAATTGAAACATCAAGATGGTAAGAAATAAATGAACACACTACTGTGCTCATTAACTGCGGTTAGCTAATTTTATAGATGGTCTAGTTATTATATTAATATTTCATTCTTATTTAACTGAATATCTTAACTATTCACACTTCTCATAGCACAAACTGCAATAAAGTTCTTCAAGCAGACACTTGTTCATCACCCAAGAAATTATTCTTTTTATATGGCAAAAGTTACAGTTTTTGAGCATGGACTAGAGAAATATTATTATCCTGTTATGGATCCTGAATAAAGTTTTATATTATTTTTGGCATGATTCTGACCAAGATGCTACCTTTCAAACTACACTGAAGTTCCAAGACCTTCAAAGCAATGTTTGTGTGCCTGTGGGAAAGTGTAAATAAATATAAAGGAGGAAAAAATAGTCTTTAGTGGTTCTAAAAATATGTGTTAAATCTGCAGAGAATTGATTAGGAAAAAAGAATATCATGTATTTTGTGATTTCAGTCCTCCATACTTGAAAAAAAATTAGTTTGATGAAACCTTTAGAAACCTAAATGTCTAATACTTCATGTGCCCAGGTACCGTTCACTCCAGTGGATCCTTGGTACAATGAACATCTAGCACGGTGGATTCTTAGTGTGGTCTCCAGAGAAGAACGTAATAGCCAGTTGAAAACCCAAAGTATTTTGTTATTAAAACAATCAAAGAAAATAGACCATGCTGGGATTAAATGCTTTCCAAAATCTACTTGAAGCTAAAGCTGAAGAACTGTATCTCTAGGAACTCAAGTGTCCAGGATGATAATTATGGGATCTTCTCCTTAATGTTTTTTTTAAAGTACAGCAGCTTAGCAGAAAGAAACTTTGTTATACAAGACATGGTTACTTCTCCAATCAGAAAGTTCAGTGTTCTAGCTTTGCTTTCTAAGTTGAAAACACAATGGATTGAAAATGTTTTTACTACTAAGAGAAACCGGAAACACTTTACTTCTTTTGTTCTTAATGGATTTTCCTGTCAATGGTTTGTCTAAATACAATATATTAAAAGCTGTGTGGGTATAGTTCTAGAAACTGGGGGAAAATATTTCAAAGAACGTTTTAAAATTGCCTTTCCTGGAACATCAAGATCTTAGGGGGCCACTTTAAGATTAGAATAATTAAAATATCTGCTAGGATGGTAATGAAAAAACGACATAACACAAACCATATTATTCAGAGAATTCCCTAGCTTAAAACTTGAAACCTCATAGGAATGAAGAAAAACAAACCTGGCAGAGGCCATGTGGGCTATATCCTAGTTTGCTTTTTATGTTCATCATGTGCCTTAATTAAGGCTGTGCTAAATGAAAGCCAGTGTACTAACTAAGGTGTTCTGGTTTCTATTTGTGAAACAGTAAAGAGTCCAATCTGCTGTACTTAGTGATGCTTCTTATTGACTGTGGGAGGGAACCACAGTAATATTCAATCTGGCCAACCAGAGCAAAGCAAGTTGCATTCATATTTAAATGAATAAATTGGATTATTATGTCTAAATTACCCAGACCTCCTCCTGGGGAGACTAATTTTAGAACAGTAGCTACATTACTGAGGAGTTACAAATTTCCATCCTCCCCACCTAAGAATTAATACTCTCAATTATAAAAAAAATTCTAAATAGTCAATAAAAAAGACATTTTTCTGATTTAGCCATACTTTTATAACACTATTTGAGATGCCTTAATAATATTTAAAAAATATGAGTTACCATATAAAGTACTTATCAATCACAAAGGCACTTGGCTCTGCTAAAAAATTTGTTTCTGAAAAGTTGGGTGTGAGTTCAAGTATTTTATATAAAATAATATTCTTCTTTTGCTTTATTTACTTTCAAATTTTATTTTCATTTTTGATTGAGGCTTACATTTGCTTGAGGCTTAGTTTACTCTTACACTGGCCACCTCCTATATATTTTGCTAAACAATTTCCAACTTATTTTTACGAACTTACTGCATGTAAAGAACACTTAAATGTAGTATGGAAATTCTTATTCACAAATAAATCCATAGTGGTGAGGTAAAAAGAGACAAGTGTTGACACAAATTTTAGTTTGAATTTTGGTTACACACTCCTACTCCTTGAAGAAAAGTATTTCTTTTTTGGATATGTGAATCTTTACTGAGGTGGGATTACTATTGTTATAATTATATTACAGACACTGAACTCAGCCTAACTGGAAATATTTTGTAACCCACTTGTGTAGTATTCCATTTCCCATTAAAGGCTGATTAATAGGCAAATTATGTTAGTTTAGTGGTAAAGGTGATTAAATATTGGTTTACCCGAACAGCATCAAAATACATCTTCTTAGCTTCTAGATCTGTCTTGTCAGACATTAACCATGCCTTTAGCAAATATTCATAAAAGCTGTCTCCGAGTCCTCCAACTGATACATGATCTGCAAAGAGAGGAAAATGAATTTCAGAGTGATCTGAATCACTTTAATTCAGATAATGCAGCAAAATCACATTAGTAACTAGGATGCAAAACCCTACGTCAACTGCAACTCAATGTTACATTTAAATTCCGACAAATCTCTTGTTTTCAGAAAGATTTTCTGAAACGGGCAGATGTGCTGTTAACTAATGTGATATACTCTAAATAATTACCAGGGTAGTTTTGTAAACATGGAGATAAAAAAATATATTCAACCCTAATTCCAAAAACCAGTTTCTCTAGTTAAAGCCACCAAATTAGGGGCACCTGGGTGGCTCAGTTGTTAAGCGTCTGCTTTTGGCTCAGGTCATGATCCCAGGGTCCTGGGATCGAGTCCCACATTGGGCTCCTTGCTCCACGGGAGGCCTGCTTCTCCCTCTCCCACTCCCCCTTGCTTGTGTTCTCTCTCTCACTGTGTCTCTCTCTGTCAAATAAATAAAGTTTTAAAAAATACACCAAATTAAAATGTTTCACAGTATATATTCAAAAAAATTTTGATTGCTTTAGTGCTCAGTAACATAAACTATGTCAAATACTATGAGTATTAACAAACCTTAAAAAGAACTGGCTTGCAATAGAACAAGAAGCTCCTCAGCTTCTTGTGATTATTATTATTATTTGATGGGTTTTCCAGTGTTATCAATCTGCAGGGTCAACATCCTTTGGGGGAGGCCAGTAAGAAAGACGACAGGGCAGGAGACATCTTCCTAATACTCCATTCCTGCAATCCTCCCCCACTGCCATTTATTATGCCAGATCCACTACATATAGTGTCAACTATATGGCATGTAATTTATAGGGTAGGTATCCTCATTAAAAGTGAAAAATATTAAGACTGAGTGAGGCTAAAGGAGATCACATTGCTGGCAAGGGCCACCTGACCCCATAGCCCACACAGGATCTTGCACTTGGAACTGCTTGCTCTCTACCATGTAACACTAAATGTATTCTTCTACCTACTGCTTGAATTAGTTCTTTAATTTCCCAAGCATATGTACCTACAAAAACAGAGATATAATCTATTTGAAGTATCATTCTTAGAATTCATAGAGAGTTTGAGCACTAATAAGCCTGATTTTGGAAATCTGCATTTTAAGTTTCATAACTCAAAATGAATTTTGTGTATCTATTTTTTAAAAATAAGACCTTTGTTGACTCTGTCACATGAAAGTAAATCTGTTTTTGTACCACTATCGAGACAACTTTCTCCCAACAGCTCCACTTGGAGGTTTACACGGGGGCCTAAAACTGAACAGTTAAAACTGAATTCATTCTCTTTTCCTTCTCAACCTTACCTTCTGCCATGGGTCCCTGTCTCACTAAGTGGCCCCATCACCCTTCCAACTGTGCAAGTTAGACATCGGAGAGTCATTCTTTACTTCTTCACTTCCTGGCCCCCAAATGAGCTACTGAGCTCTACTAATTTCACCTCCTATATATCTCATCAATCTAACCACTCCTCTGTCCTCACCAATACGATCCTGGCTGAAGCTACCAGTATCTCCTGTTTCTGAGTCTGCAGTGGCCAATTATGTGGCCTTCTGCACTCTAATAGCATGTAGCTATTTACATTTAAATTAACTAAAAAAAAATAAAAACAATTCAGTTCCTCGGTCATTGGCCATCCTAGGGCCCACGAGCTACACGTCGCCCTGGGCTACTGTACTGGTCAGGGAAGGTCTTGAACATTGTCGTCATCATCACAGAAAGTTCGAATGGCAATGCCACTGCAGCCTACTCCCTCAGTAAGACCAACGTAACCCCTTTAACATGTGAACTGGATCATCCTAACTGGAAGCCTTCAATGACAAAGACTCAAATGCTGGGTCTTCGGAGATCTGGATGCCTGCGTGGTCTCCATCTTCCCCATGTCACCATCAGTCTCTCTCTACTTGCTCTCTATCCTTCTGCCATAGGGCTCTTCCTCTGGCCCCTCAAAACCAGCGGGTTCCTTACCACCACAGGGGCTCTAAAGGTGTTCTCTCTGCCCCATGTGCGTAACCTGCCTCCTTTCCCCTTCACTGAGTGATTCACACTCAAACTTCCTGTCTAGGATTAAATATCACTTCCTCAGAGATGCTTTTCCTGACTCCCTCATTATGCACTTTTTTTAAAAAAAGATTTTATGTATTTATTTGACAGAGAGAGACATAGTGAGAGAGGGAACACAAGCAGGGGGAGTGGGAGAGGGAGAAGCAGGCTTCCCGCGGAGCAGGGAGCTCGACATGGGGCTCGATCCCAGGACCCTGGGACCATGACCTGAGCTGAAGGCAGACGCTTAATGAGTGAGCCACCCAGGTGCCCCCATTATACACTTTTTGAGAGCACATGTCTACTACACTTTGCAACTTCCTAAAATGGTAGAATTTTTTCTCTGTCTTCTCTACAAGATCACGATACAGGAGGACAGGGACTAGACCTATCATGCTTCCTGGTCCACATCAGCCCCTGAAAGTAGCTTGCACATAGCAGGTACTTAGTAAACAACTGATGAACAAGGAAAAATTCTTGTAAGTAAGTCTTAATAAGGACTATTCCCATTCAAGCTAGGAGGGCTATATTTTTAAGTAGTGAAATATGTGATTTTTATTATGGCATAAAGGCTGGTTTTAATTTTAATGTAAAATTAGTGTTTTACAATTGTAAGGCTGATTCTTAAAACAGCAGTGTTTGAAGTGACCTTTGCAATTTCCTAAATAAATTACCACAGAAACCTCTGACATTTACAAACTAAATACACTAAGTACTATCTCATCAATAACAAGCCCTGTTGTTATAAACATGATTCAGGAGACAAATGCAAGTGATGCATGGTAAAGCAAATCACTGTCCGGTTACTGTCAAAACAACAAGGACTAAATGAAGTAATAGGAAATGATGGCCGTGATCCAGACATGCTCTTCAGAGTTAAAGCAATGAGAATTGAAAGCTAACAGCCAGAAGCAGCTTCATTTTCTTCCCTCCTTGGGTTATGATTCTATAATGGATGGAAGAAGCAAGTTTGGGCATTTGGTGATTTTTATAAAAGGAAAAAGGGTTACATAATAATACATTTGCTTGAATTAATTTTGGTAAATGCCAGTTAATTGTCTATATTTTTATTTCCTGCCTATAAATTAGTCATATTTAGAAAGAATGAAAATAAAGGAACATAGAGGAGAAACAAGAAACAAGCCTTTTTGACAACTTAGCATATCACTCACTGTGCTTCCCCAGATCTGGAGGACTATTTGTGTTGGCAACAGAATCCTGTGTAAATATTTAGTGGGTGTGGGAGAGAACATGCCTGATCTTATCAGCAGGAAGGAACCTCCCACTTCTACAAGAACATATATGGTATTTTTATTCCCAAATGTTCTGAAGGTAATGTGTACTATAATCACTCAAATATTATGCACTTCTCTATAGAAGACAATTTACTCTTTCTTTTCCAAAAGGAATAGGTCCCATAAAAGGATTCCTAATACTTAAGAGATAAAACAAGTAGCAAAATAAGACAAAACGGATTAAATACTCAGACTCTTTGTTATTATTTTGTATATTTCATCTGAACCTGAACTTCTCAAAGCATTCCCCCAATGATGCTAGTGACACTGTATGTATATTAATGTTGTTATATTAATCAAAGAAGAATGGGCGCCTGGGGGGCTCAGGCGGTTAAGTGTCTGATCCCAGGGTCCTGGGATTGAGCCCCACACTGGGCTCCCTGCTCAGCAGGGAGTCTGCTTCTCCCTTTGCCCCTCACCCTGCTCATGCTCCCCCCCACTGCTCAAATAAATAAATAAATAAATAAATAAAATCTTAAACAAAAAAAAGAATGATAATTGTTCTGTCTATAGACATGGAGTCCCACATCTGGCCTCAACAGTTGCAAGATCTCTTTATATTATCAGTGACCATGACCTGATGCTGCCTCTCAGCCACAACTGAAGAGCAGAGAATAAATAGAACCATTATTAAAAGCAGAGGCAGAAAGATAGACTGGAAACAGAGTACACGAATACTCACAAAATTCACCTACTAGTAAGTAAGTAACACCTGCTAGTGTAAGATATGGTGCACTGGGTTAACAAATATCCACTAAGACAATGTCACTGGCCTCAAAAGTTTTGGATCCCTAGGAAGATGCGGATGTATATGAATCATTTTGAAAAAGATAATGATAGATAAATCTGAAGTACTGGCACAGGGGAGGAAGGGGTAAGTAGAGGATGAGTGGGTACTAACAAATTCCAACCAGGGTCTTGCAGAAGAAGGTCCCCCAGAAGAAAGGGCAATTGAGCTGGAGTAGTCAGAAGAGAGGTAATAGGGCTGAGGAAACAGCATAAATCAAGACCTGGATATGACCAAGCGGGCCTTGATTAAAGAACGAAAAAATAAGTGTGTCTCCATTGTGCCTGGAACACAGGATAGGGGTGGGGGAGGGAGAGCAGACATGAGAGTCATCAACCCTATTTGTTTGCCATCAAGAAATTGGTCCATGAGCAATCCAAATATAACGGGCCCTTTGTACCAGGAAACATGGCCAAATACACAATATATTGGTAACCCAGGAGCTAAAACTGGGATGTTCCAGTACAACTGATACTTTTTGTCCCTTTTCACAGTGACTTCTAAATCCTAAATCACAAGAAGAAAACGGTCAGTCATAGAGAATTTTTTTCAATTTTTAAAATCATTCATGAGAAGGAAAATGCTAAAAATGCCTGTCCTTTTAGAGAATCTTATCTGGTCCTTGTACTCAGAAAGCTACTCAAGTTCTATTTTATCTCAGATACTCTTAATGGTTCTCAAACTTTTAGTCTCAGCATGCTTTACACTCTTAAAAAGGAATAAATAACCCAAATAACTTGTTTATGTAATATCTCTAAGTATTTACCGTATTGGAAATGAAATTTAAAATATTTATATTAAGTTAAAATATTTTATTAATTTAAAATGAGAATACAACCATTATGATAACATATCTTTCATAAAAACGTTATATTTTACAACATAAAAAATTAGCTAAAAGACTGACACTGATTTACATTTTTGCAAATATTTTAAATTTTTGCTGTACTAGAAGATAGCTGGATTTTTGTATCTGCTGTATATTCAACCTGTTGCTATATGTCATTTTGGTGGAAATACATGAAGAAAATTCAGCCTCACACAGTGACACAGTTGGAAAAGAAAGTATTTTAAGAGTCTTTTCAGATAATTGTGGATTTTTCTTTGACACTAAAACAAAACTTGACAAGTAGTTTTTTAAAGGTTAACATTTTTTAAAGTTTGGTTGTAATGTGGAATTAGAAATCACATCAATGAATTTTTGTACTATTACATTTAAATCCATTGGTCTGTCTTGTACTTTGAATGGATCTTTTTTCTCGCATGATTTTGTAATAGCATGTATTGGTCATTTGGAAAATACTGGTTCACTTAATTATGCAGATCTTCCAAGTGTTGACACAGTTCATTATATGATATAAAAAACCACATTTGTTAATACCACCACTACTCTCATCAGAAAAGTTTTTTTTTTTAGAGAGGGTGGGGAGTGGCAGAGGGAGTGGGAGACAGAGAGAGAATCTTAAGCAGACTCCATGCTCAGTGTGGAGCCCAACACGGGGCTCGATCTCACGCCCCTGAAATCATAACCTGAGCCGAAATCAAGAGTCAGATTCTTAACCAACTGAGCCACTCAGGTGCCCCAGAAAAGTCTTTAAGTATTGGTTAAAGGTGTTAAGGTCATGGTGGCATATACACATTTCTTAAACTTCTAATTTTCATTTAGAAATTCAAATTCTATCATTGGCACAGATACTGTCAGTTTTCTTTGAAGTGACAGGCCTGTTTTTGAGAACATGGTTACCAATTACCCAAGTCCGAATAACCAAAGTTTGTCTTCAGTTGTTCTTTCAAGCAAAAATGGTGATTCATGCATCAGTAAGTGGCTGGTTCAGCCTGTGATTCAAACAATCACACAAGGGCTTTTCTATGAGGCAGGCACTATCTTTTATTATACAGCAAAGAAGTGTACTCGATGGCTGAGATTTACTAGACTCCATTAATTTTTCTTCATTAAAAATATTCATAAGTGAAACTGGCACCTTTTTTTTCTTATTGTCAGTGAAGAATACGATTATTAGTACTATCTGGCTCCTCTGCCATGGTTCCCGCTGTGGCCTCAACAGTTTTACCCACCACTGCTTTTGCAACACAAGTGCAAATGTCAACACAGTGAAAAGGCAGAAAGTCTTAGTATTATTATAAAAATAATTTTGACCTTCAGGACCCCGTGAACGGTTTCAGGGACATGCAGTGATCTGCAGACCACACTTGGCTAAGTGGCAACCTTATGGTCTTACAGTCTCAACGGCTAGGCTTTCCATAGCCACTACAAACAGAGATTTTAGCACAATTTTTATTCTACTAAATTATTCTTTAAGTACTTCTACAGTAACAGTGAGGCATATTCATCTAAGAATATAATTTTAAATATAAAGAAAATACTCAAATTAGAATAAAATTGTAAGGCACTGCTAATATCCCCGGCACCATGAGGCACCTCACTTCGTATTCTGTACCTGCTCTCAGTTGCTGCGTTCATCTACCACTGTTTTTCCAAATCAACTTGAGAACATTTCTTTCAACTACTCTGAATCTTCATACCACCTGTCAAAGTCCCTAAGGGATCTGAAGTGAGGGCTTCTTGCATAGTGCTTTCTCCTAATCTGAAGATAATTCTACTGGGAAGAAACCATTATCTGCTGGCTTAAAATTAAGTAGAGAAAATACCGTTTGCTCTTTCAATTTCCTAACCCTTATAGATTCAGGTTCCTCTCTCATCTTGGAGCCAAGAAGAAAAAGAGAAAATGCTATAAAGTAGAATGATCTAGCTACTCTGTGCAAAACGCTGACAGTCAGTAGCACAAAGGAATAATTTTCCCTTCTATCCACATGACCGGCTTGTTACAGGCTAACATCCCCACAAACCCAACCAGATCTTCCCTTCCTGATTAATAATTTAAATGTGCTTACATGTCATCATACTCACATTTATGCACGAAAAACAAATAATCTAGATCCCTGGTAACATTTATAGTCTCCCTTATGAGAAGCCTACTTAGTAAAGGAACCATGCCCACTTTCCCCTTTTTGAAACATTCCCCAAAAAGATTTGTGCTTTTTAGTCCTCCTTCTGTCTGTTACTAGAGCAGTGCTGGGTATCATAAAGAGCTAAGACAATGCTAATCTTTTGACTTACATTGACCCCACTGTCCACTACTGGGATTCAGATAGTTAGGATAAAGGCCTTGTGGTTTTTCCAGGTTGTTCAGTACTGTTCGAATATTCATTACCTACAACAGAAAATGAGATGTTACTATGAAAATCTAAAACACAATTTTGGTGCCATTCTTCTCTCTTTCTCCATTACATTTTTCCATGTTAGGAAAGAAGACTGATTTAAAAGAATTAGAACAAAGAAAGTCGCCCCCAGCTTACAAAAATAATCGCAGTAAGTGAATACAGTCACACTCATCTGCCAGATGCCATAGAAGGAACTAGGGATCTATCAGTGGATAAACAAAGTCATTACCCTCTTGGAATTTGCAGTCTAGTGGGAGGAGACAGATAATAAGCACATAAATATGTCAGGTGGTGACAGATGCTATGAAAAAGTTATAGAGAACAATGGGACAGAGTGATGTGAGGTCGTGAGGCTGCACACTTAGTCAGGGAGGTCTGGGGAGCCTGATGGGAGAGGGTTTGAGCCGAAACTTAAAGTAGCAAAGGAATAACCATGCAGAAAGTTGGAGGAAGAGCAACCGGGGCAGAAGGAGGTGCACGCACAAATGCCCTGAGAAGAGAGTGGGTTTGGCAAGACCACTGAGGCTGGAGGTGAGGAAGCAAAGGGGAGAATGTCAAAGAGAGAGGAGAGAGGGAGTCAGGGCCCACATCATGCAAGCGTCACGGGCCAAAATGAAGGCTTAGTTTATTCCAAGTGTGATGGGAAGCCATTGAAGTTTCGTGTGATTGAGGGGACAAGAGAGGAAGCAGTATTCAGGTGAGTACTGCAGAGTCCAGGTGAGAGATGTTAGAGTCCCAGGAAAGGGTGGGAGCAGAGAAACAGGATAGAGCCAAAACATCTCCTGATGGATTCGACCTAAGGTTTCCCAAAAAGAGAGGAACCAGATGACCTCAAGATCCATGGTCTGAGCCACTGGGTAAACTGAGGTGGCATTTTATCAAGACAGTGAAGACTGCAGTAGAAACAGGTCTGGGGGTTGAGTCTAAGGCATTTGGAGTAGCAGGTGTCTTTTAGACCTCTTAGTGGAAATGTCGGATATAGAGTGTGGGATAGGTTGGGACTGGAATGATCGATTTGGAGTCAACAACAGCACATAGACCGTATGTGGAGCCATGAGACTGGATGAAATAATGTAGACAGTGAACATAAAAAGAAGAGGTCCAGGTTTGAGTCCTGAGGCTTTCTGATATTTAGAGGTTGGGGCATTGGGGAAGATCCAACAAAGAAGGCTGAGAAGGAGCACTCTACTGAGGAAGGAGGCAAACCAGGGTAGTACCATATGCCTGCAGCCCTGTGCAGTGTCTCGGAGAAGGAAGTGACCAAGTGTGTCAGCTGCTGAGAGGGTGAGGAAGACGAGGGCTGAGAATGATCACCAGACCTGGCAACACAGAGCTCCCCAGTCATCGAGACAGGTGTGGCGGAGAGAAAAGCCTGCCTGGAAAGTGTTTAAGAGCGGGGAACACAAGAGTGGGGGGTAAGAGAGACCACTCTCTCAAGAAATTTTGCTATAAAGGGAAGCAACAAATGGGGTGGAAGCTAAGAGCAGAGTGGTGGGGTGAATATAAATTTACTCAAATATCTATGGGTTTGTTTCTTGAAAATTAGAAAGAGATTCAATTTGTATTATACTCGAAGTTGTATTATACTTTGAGTTTAAAAAGTCTTTCCCATACTTGCTTCATATAGTCCAGACATTACCTATTTTTAGATAAGGAAAAAAATTCAGAGAGGTAAAGTGACTTGCTTGAGGTGTAGAGAATCTGACGTGTATACCATGTTGTCTCACATGGAGTTAGATGGTGCCATGGAATGACTGTGGGTTTACGGTTTGGTAAAATGAAATGCTGCATGTAATAAAACTTCATAAAGAACTATATTAAACTTTGTTGTTCTTTTCCACATCTAATATTACTAAATCTTCCAGGACAGGATATTGTTTCTCACAAGTACAGCTCTGCAATGCAAGGTGTATTGGAGAATCTCACCTTTTCAGCAAAGATGGGGTTTCCTGATAAGTGGCTCAGGTGTAGAAACTCCAAATGCAGAGTTCCAAATTCTGCCAAAATACTGCTGCCTCCTGAGGCCCAGGGCCAGTTCCTTCCAATCCCACTAAAGAAGAGAAGAGATTGAACAGTTATGGGTCAGACTAATTCCAATTTTTGCAGCTCTAAACAGTAGAAGTGAAAGAGACAGCTTTTGAATGATAGCACCTCAGCTAATTATCTGGATATCTTTGGCTGCTGGTTTCAGGCTTTGACTCTTAATCTACAAATTGAAAATCAGTGTTGACTTAAGTCAGAAAAAAAGTTGCTATGTGCTTGCTGTTGATAAACAGACAAATATTTTGGAAGGTACAGGTGTCATATAGAGATGCACACCCATTCCAAATAGAATATAAAACACCCCCCAACATACCCCAAATCCCACATAAAGCCCTCCAACATTTTAATTAATTTTAGCCTCAGAGTCCATGGACTATTATAGATATTCACATTATATTTAAAAGTTTTCTTTGATATAAGATAAATTTCAAAGATTCATTGATTATATACACACTCCACCTCTCCCCAAACCCTCCCTCCACTTACTAGAGTTTGTTTTGTTTTCCCCCCACACTATTTTCTCTATTTTCTAAGTATATCTTCCAGGGCGTTCACTTATTCCCTGACCCATTTAATCTATGTTCAAGAATTTCAACACAATTATGTAATTCAAATCTGAAAGGGGTCAAAAGGCATGAGCTTCAAAAATTATTGCCTCATGCCTCATCTTGGAGAAATGGTTTTGAGTCCTACACATCCACACAAACACACACACATACACACACACACACAAAGTGGCTTTTGAGACATGGTCATACTCTCTTGGGTACAGTTTATTTTTGGAGAGCCACTTAAAATGTCAAGACTTAATGTGATAATTGAAATAAAGAATAAAGTCAAGGATCTGACCAGTAAATTCCCTTGCAGAAAGCTGAAAACCCACATTTTGGTTTTAGTTCAGATGCACATTTACTGCATGCCTACCATTTGCCAGGGACTCTGCATGGCATTGGGTTACAAAGATGATTATAATGAATAAATCACCTTTTTCTTAAAGACCTTAGAGTGTAATGTGAGAGAATGACCTAAGCATAGATAATTCCAATTAAATATGGTAAGTGCCAAGATAAGTGTGTGAAAAATTCTCTGAGCACCTAGGGCCAGGGCATGCAATCCTTTATGGTGGGGGCACAGAAGGCTTCTTCAAGGAGGAGACTCCTGAGTTGATTGTTGAAAAATGAATATGAATTAGTGAGGAAAGAATGGTGAGAAGGAGCATCTGGACACCGAGAGCACACAGAGGGGCTAGCCAGAACTAGAAGAAGCTCCTGCTGCTGCTGAATGGAGCGAAGGGAAGGTGGCCCGAGAGAAGGCTATGAGGTTCAATTGGCGCCAGGTCTTGGCGGCTTGTGGATTTCTCACTTTCTTCCATTTCCAAGTCGGCTCCATTTGAATATTGCTCTTGGTGTCCCCTAGATTTCCCTCCCTGTTTTTTTTGCTTTAGATCATTCACAACTCTGGGTAAACCCTTCCAGCTGTCTTAACTTCTGCTCAGGAATGTCTAAGAAAAGGAAAACAATAAGGACAACTGGTATCTAAAATTCTAGGCTGGCCTCACTCTTATTCCATGTCTTTTTAGAGCAAAACCTAGATTTTATCTTCAAACGTAGATTTATAGTAAACATAATAAAAAAGTAAACAGAAATAAAAGGGATCTAAAAATCACATATTCATTTATTTTAAAAAATGCCTTATATTTATTCAGTTCTGGGAATGTAAATCAGTTTTTATTTTCATGATTGGCTTAGATGAAAGGAATAGCCAATCATCCAAATAAGATGAACAACTACTTTCAAATTTTATTAACATATGGCAAGTACACACAGTAATTGGTCATTAATTTGTTGTCATGACATTTTTTTTTATTCCAACCATTCTATCACTGACCAAAATCAATAAACCAAATTAAGCAAAACTAAAAATTTCTATGTTCTAGAGAAACTATTAAAATCAAAACCACAGTGTCAGAGTAAGAGGGAATGAGGACTTTGTCATGGAGAAAGAAGAAGATAGTGTGCTAGGAACCCAGCCCACTTTCCAGATCTTCAAAGACTGGTTCTTTTCGGTTCAGGGTATGAGGGTGTGTTGGCACACTCAGGTGAGAAACTCAAGTAATATATATGTACAAAAATAAAACTCAAATTACTTTTGTATTCATGCATTTGTTCCCTGCTATTAATGTGGTTAATTCAGAGAAAACCAGAGATATATTAAAAAAAGTTCAATAGGTTAAAAAAAATTAAGATGGAAAAAGGGTTGTATATATAATCCCTCTTCCTCCTTGGCACACATTCATATCAGAAGGAAAATAGCACACTTTTCTATCACTTTAATTATATACGGAACAAGCACAGTAAAAGCACCAGCAAAGGATATGTCATGCTAACAGAAAGGAAGCTGGGTTTAGAATACAGGTATATTTATATGAGAGAATGGCTTTGGTTACCATTCTTTCAACTTACAGAATTAATGTATTTCAGTAAAATTGTAAGATCGATAGTTGTGCTAGCTCTTAAATATAAATGACAGCAGGGTTTCAAGAAGTCAGAGAGGGCATCATTATATCTAGATATTTAATAAGGTCATTTGCCTTTTCTTAGGCAAAGCTAAAATGACTGGAGATTGGTCTTGGGGAGAGCGTGAGGCACATACCATAGGCCATCACAGCTAAAATACGTGTGTAATAGGGGAAATGGCTGCCTGTTTGCACAGCACATGTGACTGAATCAGAACCAGTTTTGGACACTCAGAATGATTTCTAAGGTCTTTGGTCTCTAACTTCTAAAGGTCTAATTGAGGAACCTATATACTTGTATGGCTCTAATTTCTAAACTGATATATACAGACATTGGGCATTTGACATCAAAATGATGGGTTTATGACAGGAAAGTGAGTGCAGAGCGAGTTTTGCTCGTTTGGTCTGGGGCCCTGGGCATCCCATGATACCAAATGCTAAAGCTTTCTAGACCTCTGGGTCAAGATCAGTCTCATCTGGGAAAGTAGGGGATTTAAAATGTCTTCAACTTCAGTTCCCTTATCACAATATTTTAAAAGCAGTCATGGTGTTCTTTATCTATTTTACAAACACTAATAATATTTTAGAAAAATATTTCAAAAATAAAATAACAGTTTGTGTTCAGAAACTATTAGTTCCATCAGGCAGGCATAAAAGGGAAGAATATTTAAATATTCCCAATCTTGTTACAATGATTGCAGCTTAAGCCAAAGCGATGAGTCAGCATATGGAAATGTATACACAAAAAGGCAATTAACAGGATTTGGGAAACTGCCAAGTGAGTGGTTCAAAGAATCCTGGAGCCGAACTTCAAACTTCTGTATCAGTCTAATTTCACTTAAGTCTGTTTCCGCCAATCCCCAGTTCTTCCATTTTAAATTGGAGTACTATTTAATACATATTTTTCAATTTTTAATTTAAAATTTTCAGTAGTCTACAAAGGTAATAATTCTTTGAAGATAAAACATCACAACAAAAAATAACTGATTTTGGCAAATGCAGCTAGAAATGTGTCTTTAAAAAAAAAACTGAGTCACTATGATTCTTTTGAAAATGTGAAATACTATTCTGTTGCTTTAGAGAGTATAACTTGAATGTAGTTTATTAGCAGTGGTAATATACTTCCACATTCTACTGCACTCAAAAACAAGAAGGTATAATTATTTACCGACCTCATAGCTCTGATAAGCAATGGGCATTATGCTTTTTTTCTTTTCCTAGGAATGGTTTTTTTTTATCTTTTTTTTTTTTAAGATTTTATTTATTTATTTGAGAGAGAGAGAATGAGAGAGAGAGAGCACAAGAGGGAAGAGGGTCCGAGGGAGAAGCAGACTCCCTGCTGAGCAGGGAGCCCGATGTGGGACTCGATCCCGGGATTCCAGGATCATGACCCGAGCCGAAGGCAGTCGCTTAACCAACTGAGCCACCCAGGCGTCCATCTTTTCCTAGGAATGGTTAATAACACCAGAGAAAGGAACTACCTTACTAGTACTGCTATTCTATTCACGTTTGAATCCCATGGGAGAGCTGCTAACTCCTCCTAGAGCTTGTAATGAATCAAGTAGCTGGAGGGTTGTCCTGGATTGATGGTATAGCCCTTCAAAATAATCTTAAATTGAGGCACCCAAAGTGATAAGTTATAGTCACTGCCCAGATACAATTTGGATCATTAAAAAATACATTTGGCTACTTAATATAATCAAACTCAACAAGTAAAGAATTTACAGAATGGAAACAATTCTAAAAAATTGCCAGATGAACATATAAACAAAGCATTAAATAGTTATACAGCCTTGATTAGCTATGACTTTCAATTTATTCTTCCTTGCTGCTTGCTCTTTTATGCCAAATGGGAAATGGGCCAATAAACAATTTTCTTGAGGATTCTTGTCTGAATAATTTCTGATTAGCTGATCAGTAAACAAACGCCCTTCAAGTTCAAAGTCCAGAACACAGGTTACTCCTTGTGGCTACGGAGGTAACAAGTTTTGGAAGAAAAAAATTCCCCACATTCTTTATATTATGGGAAAGCCTTACTTATATATGCAGATAGAGGGGCACACAGGGATATTTAATTCAAAAGAGCAGATAATCCAATATTATTCCTTTTGGATTTTAGCACAAATTAGGAAAGAATAATTAGAAAGTTCATGAACAAGTGTTTCATTTAACTGTATTCCCAAAGCTAATTGATTTTGAGATTAAGCTATTTCAGCTTCACTTATTACAAATGCCTCCTTCCTGAACAGATTCACACAGTGCTGATCTTCCAAGTATGTAGTCTAAGATTTCACTGAGAGTTGGACTAATAATTCCAGGGAATGGCATTCTAGGACTAGTCAAGTCTATTATAGCTCAACCATAGAAAATTCCACTGGGGAGGACTACTTCCCCAAGAGCTATCCACAGGGAAATGGTGGCTAATAAAGGGCAGCCATATGACTGAATTAATTCACAATTCATGGTTTACTGCTCCTGAACAGCAGCATGTG